GTCAACGTCACGTTACTGCCTGCAGAGTAAAAAACACAGATAAAGGAACATTTGGACATTTTTAGACATCTGTTAGCTTAAAAGCTACTTCAGGCCGCCCCCTTACTCCCCCTCCACGCTCGATTTGATCAATTCAATGATCGTCTTCTATTACATATAGATTTTAAAATAAATCAAATATACTCATTTTATTAAATATACTTTCTTAACCCAAAAATCTTTTAATTTTGTTCATACTTTTCTGAGGTATCCGTACTGCGTAACGATGTAGTTTTGTAGTTTTTTAGCTGCTGATGAAAGAAAGAACTTCTGATGAAGACATCAGTGAGCACAACGGTGCCTTTGGCCAACGCTGTAAACTGTTTTTTTGTACGTTTGGATCTGTGTGATGTCACAGAGAGGGGCAGCCAATCACAAGAACGTCGTGTCAAAAGGGGGTGGGGCTAAAACAGCTTGTATCAGAGAGAGGAGGAACTGAGATGGTGCATAAGATAAAGAAGAGTTATTATGAACTCTGAATCATGCAAAGCTGATGTGACACCATAAAAACATGGTGAGGGAAATAAACAGAGCAGTAATGAATCCAGAGCGTTTCTGCAGACCGCGACATCTGCCATTAACGCGACGCCGGCTTCTGCTAGCTCTGCAGTCTTCACCCGGGTCGTGTGGATTCAGGGGAACGAGGACGCACAGGCTGAAACCCAACGATCCTCTGAAGCTGTGATTGGACGTTTAGCCGCCTCGATGAAACTCAAACACATTATAAAATCATCAAAACAAAGAAAGCTTTGAGAAAACGTCACGTTTGGCTGATTTTAATCCTTCCAGCAGCTTCAGCGTCTATCGTGACCTGTGCTCCGCTTTACCGTAAAAATAAATGCTGCAAACCTGTGGGCGGAGCTTCAAGAGGTGATCTTTTTTCCTTCTTCACGTGGCATCGTCGTTAATCCAGCCGCTCACACTGAAACAGTGTTTTTATGACTACATCAACAGTTTAACGTTAGAACTACAAACGGTGGAGATCTCGGCGTTGGAAAAACTGTCGTATAAAAGCTGTTTGTTGTTTTTACTGCGGCGTCTTCTTCTCTCACAGGGTTCGATTTTCAGATCACCAAACACAGTTAAAGAGTTCTTTACATGGAAGGTTCGGAGGAGCGTCCGACGTTGGAGGTCACCAGTAGACGATTTCACATATTTGTGGGAGGGGACAGGATGGACTACTGCTGGTCCCGGCTGCTGAGGAAGTCTGCGGAGGATCTGAGTGTTTCTGCTTCAGTCCTGTGAGAAGATAACTCGGGGCCTCTGGCGTTCTCCTCTCTGACTCCTGCAGAAACACAGACGACGCAGCACTGAGGCCATGACCACGTTAAAGAGCATCACGGAGGCGGCGAATGAGAGAAAACAGCTTTTTGCCTAAAGTGGACGTCAGACTGCGAGGATGCACCAAAACATGCAAACCTGAATGAACCGAAGCGACGTAAAGACGAGCGTGCTCCACGCCCACGCGGCCGACTGCAGCGACACACGGCTCGTCGCTGCCGCTGGCTGAGGCTTCAGGTTTAGTTTGATGTTTGACGACGCGGCGAACGCGTCACACACGTGCTGCTCATCTGCGTTTGAATCGTTTCTATGACGCCCAGATTTGTAAAAACCACAGAAATGAAAGAAGGCTGCACGAGTGCATACCTGCCCCCCCCTCAGTGCGGGGGCTGCTCTCCAGGTCGGCAGAGGGCGGCTG